CGGTGCGTCCCTCGCAGCTCTGGCGGTGAAGTTCGCGCAGCGGCAGCGCTCGCCGCACTGCCTGTTGGTGAAGGAGCACCAGGTGCGGGAAGGGGCCGACACTGCGCACCCGCCTCGCCGCACGCTCTTCGTCCTCAACGTGCCCCCGTACTGCGGCCCGGTGAGTGGGGGCGGCTGGGGACCGAGGACAGGGCCTTGCGGGCCCGGGAGCCGGCGTGCCTCGGAGCTGGTACGGGCGGAGGGCCGGGCTAGGGCCCGGGGGGCTGCCCGGAGGGCTCTGCAGGCTGTTTGAGGGAGGCACCGCTCCTGCTTTACTGTGTGTTTTCGTGTTAAGGACGCTCTGTCTAGGCTGTTCTCTCGCTGCGGGCATGTGCAGTCTGTGGACATGTGTGACAAGCCAGGTCCAGGAGAGAAAAAAGATAAACTGACGTCCAAATTCTTCGATCACAAAACTCCGAAGGTAAAGCTTGGACAGGGGAGTGGAATACTGATGCTTTAGTGGGAAAAGATGGCAAATACTGAATGGTTCTCTTCAGAACATGAGGCATGGGAAACCGTATGGGACGTTGGGTGACATGATTACTTACTTAAATTGACATTGTCTTTTTTTTTGCTATCCTACTGGCACTTGTGGTTTGACTTTTATTTTATTTTTTTAAGTTATTTGTAGTGCAGTTGCTTGTTCCATCACCAGTGTCTCTAACATATCTGACTCACCTGGGTGTTTCTTTACTTCTAGGGATTTCAAGTAGCATACGTGGTGTTCAGGAAAGCAGCAGCTGTCCAGGCAGCCAAGGCTCTATCAAAGGAAGGTCCCTTGCTAATATCAACAAAGAGCCACCCTGTGAAAACCGGCATTAGCAGTATGTCAACTCTAGCTATCTTTCCATGGGCTAATGCCAGGGAAGAACTATACTCGTTGTTGGCTGAATTCTACTGTGCATGTCCCATTTTGTCCTACGCTGGGGAATGTTCAGTGTTTTGTGTGCTTTTATTATTTACATGGTAGCAATTTTATTGAACCAGGTATTGAAGTCTGGACTGGTGACCCTATGGGAGAGTGGGGACACTTGGAAGGGTCTTTTTTCCTGACATCTTTTCAGTATTGCATAGATTCAGAGATACTGTCTGCATCTTGTCCTCAAAATGGAGACCAGACTCATGCAGCAGGCACTGGATGTCTGTCAAGTTGACAGCACTTGACATATAGCCCCTTGACAGAAGCACAGCCCTGAATGTTGTACCCCTGGGCTTATAAGGCTAGCCCACTTCTGCCTGGGCAAGTTGCAAACTCTTCCCATCGCGTATTGGTTGTGCTTGCAGCCAAGTTGGTTTGAGCTGTGGTGGAGGGAAGCTGAACATAAATGGGAACAACGTGTCCTTCTCCCGCTCTAGAGTTCACTCTAGAGCTGCCCAAAAGCACCACACTAGCCTGCTTCTAACAGCAGCTGCTGCTGACTTGTGCCCTCTCTCTCCCAGAGTGGATCGCCAGCTATGAGGCCTCCATCGTGAATCCGAAGGAGCTGAAGGCTGAGGTGGATGCCTACATGCAAGACTATGATAAAAAGATGGCAGAGGTGAGGCCAGGCTAGGGAGGGAACCATGCTAAGCAGTTTTCTTGGGGCAGAGGGAAAGAAGAGAAATTTCTCAGTGCTCCGGCCGTATTGGGAAGGGCTGAGGGTCCCTCTCTTTGGCAGAGGTTTTTTACTCACAGTTTCTGGTGGTTTGGTCTGCAACACCTGACCCTTCCCCTAGGGCTTACAATGGATATCCCCAAATAAATTGGTTTGTGGCTGACATGCAATGTGACCGAGAGTTATGGATGACTGAGAATGCCTGTAGTTCTGATCCCATGGCTTCCTTTAGATCTCGCTTGGAAGCAGGAGCTGTAACTTTGCCTGTGTTTAAAAAGGAGGGCTGTGGGGGAGTTGTGCATTGGGCTGTACATCTGCACTGGGCTGCCTCACCCTCCTGACATTACAGGAAGAAGCCAAAGCAGCCAAGGAGGAGGGTGTTCCAGATGAGGAGGGCTGGGTGAAGGTGACCCGGAAGGGCCGGAAGCCTGGCCTGCCCCGGACAGAGGCTGCCAACCTGCGCGTGCTGGAGAAGGAGAAACAGAAAAGGGCCCGCAAAGAGCTGCTCAATTTCTATGCCTGGCAGCACCGCGAGACCAAGAGAGAGCGTGAGTGTGCAAGTCTCCTCCTACCCCTGCCTGTGTCTCTTGTGTCACACTGTGGCCCGAAGAGCATCCTTCTGCCTTCAGGGGAGGCTATGTCCAGCTGCCAGTAAGCAATTGGCTGGCTGGATCTGAACGGCCTCTTGCCACCACCTGTCCTAGCAAGGGCTGATGGAATATTTTATGGGAGGGTGTGTAGGTTGTGATTTTCCAAGAGGTGCTTATTCAGTCTGCACAAAGGCCATGATTGAAGGGGGAAACTAGCCAATTCCTCCCCAAGAGGGAGCTGCAGCACCGCCAGAGATGAACGGCTGGAGCCCCAGCTTGGCACTCAGCCAAGGTGTAAAAGGACTCCCTCTGGAAAGTGTGTGTTTGTGGCTGTTGGGACTGAGCCCCTCCAGTGTGTGGAAGTGAAGCTCCCAGTAGAGGGAGGTCTGCTGCTCTCGTGTGACCTGTTCTTTCTTTGTGTTTTAGACATTGCCCAGTTAAGGAAGAAATTTGAGGAGGACAAGCAGAGGATCGCACTGATGCGAGCCCAGCGCAAGTTTCGGCCATACTAGGTTGTGCTGAGCTGTTCTTCAGGTGCCTGCGCTGGGTAGGAGAGATCCCTACTGACTCCACTTGCCAAAGGATTTTGGGGAATTGAGGCAGCTTTGGATTGCCTTTGCCTTTACCTTTGGATCTGAAATGGGAGATCCCAGCAAATGCTGCTGGAGGAGAGTTCCCTTTATTTGCACCGGTATCCTCCTGCTCTTCTGTCATTCAGCTCCATGGCACTTCTCAGGGTGCTCAGGTCAAGGGGCTGAGGCACATCCTGTGACAACCTGTATCTCCCTGCCACCCAAAAACACACCTCCTAAAGCTTGGTGAGAACTGGGATTGACCTAATGCATCTCTGCAGGGGCAGGGAATGGCTGAAGAACTGTAAATAAACTGCTGCTACTGTTTTCAGAACGTGGGAATGCTTCTCTCTCCCCCTGGTCTCCTGTGGGAAACGGCTTCTTGTGTGCTGGGGTGGTGGTAAAAATTATGGCTTGTAACCTAATGCTCCTTTGCACATTTTATTGAAGGAACGAGGAGGAAAGCAACTTTAGGAAAAAACTAACTTTGACCCGTTGTCACAAGGAAAGACCAGTGGTTTGGTACAGAGCTCTACCCCTTATCTTGCTGATTCCCTCCCTGGCCAACTATTGTGGTGCCCAGTCATCCAGCTGTGTGCATGGAGTTTGCAGCTATGTCTAGGCCATGGGAAATTCCTGATACCCAGAACTGTTGCAAGAACAAATGCCACTTTGAGCAGCCTGGTTTGGAAAGAGAAACTAGACTCCCCACGCCCTGTGTTCCAGTTAACCTGTCCCCAGCCCACAGAAGGCAGGTAAGGATGGCAGCAGGCATGTTTAGGTGTGGGACAGTGCTTTTGTACTGCTCCTATAGCATTTGTGCACCTTTGGAAGTAAGTGGTAGCTCTGTGGTCAAAGTAACCCACCCAGCCCCAGGCTTTTAAACTTTTATTTTACTACCTATAACTTCATTAGAGATGTGACCATAAATCTAAGGTGGAAGTGGTGGTAAATTCCAGAGAGCTGAGATAAAATGGATTTACCCTCTCCTAAAAAACCAACTGCACATACAGTTTGCACTGCTTGCAGAGGTGACAGGCCTGGCTGCTTCAGTGAGCTGTTTGCATCAATGTAACTGGGAGGCAGATCCTTGGTAGGGCTTACCTAAGGCACACAGTGTGTAAAAATTGCTGCCTCCCAAGATGCATTTTAGCTGCTTGGGTGAATGGCCTGAACGGAGGTTTGTTCTTCTGTAGTGTCAAGAAGACAATACTTAACATTAGAACATTAATTTTTATTTAGGACAGAAATCATCTCTGCCAACGTTTCCATAATTTGTAGTTCTCCCAGCTGCTTCAGCTAGAGGATAAGGACATTCTCTAGCATTCATTAAAATGGCCTTCTCTGCACAGGTGAGCTCTTATTTAAGCTGATTCTTAAAAAAGACAGTAGCTCTCACAGTGGAACAGAGACACCGAGGCCCTCTGAGCGCATGCATCTATGGAAGTAAGAAGAGAAGCAGAACACTTTCCTTGTTTTTCAGCAGGTTAAATCCTAGGAGCAGCCTGTCTGCACCATCCGCAGGGAGGAGGCAAGATGAGTCACCTCTCTTGCAGTGCCAAAGCTGCTGCTGCTGTCACAGAGGATGCCTCTGCCTGTGTTTGCTCCATTTCAGGGTGCAAGTTTGGAGTAAGCCAAGGGGAAGGCAACTCCAGGCCTCCATCCCTGTACTCACAGAGCTGGAAGCAGAGCAAGGATTCCTTCTCCCTTTGGCAAATGAGGTACTTTGTTCAGCTCTCCTTCAGAGAACCCCTGGCACACCTGCTTCCACCCTGCAGTGAGCTAAGCATAGGAAAGATTATCACAATCTGATGTTGGATGCGAGGTAGGAATGGTGATAAATCTGGAGCTTGCTTGTTAGCTCCCAATTCTCCTGGACTGCTGCAGTTGTGAGGGCTTCCTAAAGTCTGGCCCTGGTGTTCTGTGATGTCAGGAAGTTGCTGATGATCCCAGATACCATCTTGGGCTCGTTCAGGTGCACAAAATGACTTCCAGGCACTTCTGCTAACTGGATGTGCTGGAGGGAAAGGACACAACATGTGGACCCCGAAAGTGTTCCCTCAGGTACACACTGCTTGCTTTATAACACTCATAGGAAGGGACAGGGCAAGTGAGGCAGGACAGAGATGGGAAAACCAGGGAAGAGCTGGGTCCAGAGGGCAGTACTTACTTGGGACTTAGGCAGCAAGGACAAAGTTGTCTTTCTCCCCCCATTTCACCCCTCTCCACCCCATGCAAGGGCTGTGCTGTTCTAGACAAATCACCTAGTGGATGGTGCCCACCAAGGTCAGTTGCTTCCCAGCTGCTGTTCCCAGGCTGGTGGCAAATCAAGATGCAAGGATGAAGTTTGCTCTCACCTCTTTGAGGGTAGACTCAAATGCCTCCTGCAGAGCTTTCACAAAGTGATTTCTGCTGGGTAGGTTGTGTGGTACCAAGAGTCCATCTTGTGATCTGAAAAACAACAGTGAGGCTCAGTACAGCACCCAGTGTTGCCTCCATTTGTCTTTGTGGCTGTCCTGGGCAGAAGTGGTGTCTGCAAGACAGTAGGGTGACAGACCCAACTGCTCTTTCCAGGCTGCTGCTAAAAGGTGGGTGGCAGGGTCATACGTGGTAGTTAGAATGCACCACACAGCTTGGCTAAGCAGCTATTTTCTATCAGACTCTGTAAAACCTTGGGTGACTGCCTAGTGGTACCAGAGTGGAGACTGGCTAAATATTGTCCTGCCTGGGCTGGCTTTGTAACTGGTCTGAGAGTATCATTCCCTGTCCTGTTCTGCTTAGTGCTCTTTACTTTTTCCTTCCTTAGAGTTTCCATATCTCCCTTCAGTCCCTTCTGCCTCTCTTTGCTGCTGATTTAACCAGGTTATGTCCTGCTTGGAGAGGGAGCTACCAGGGCAGTTGCCCTGAAGTCAGCATTAGATCTCCCGCAGAACTGATGATGCTGTCTCCTGTGCTGGTGATGGGACAAGGGGACATCCCAGGCTCAAAGGCATTTCTATGGCCCAGAGGACTTGAGCTCGTCATGATGTTACATTTCTGGACAAGCAGGAATAACCTGAACCTCTTATGATACTAAAACAGGTCAGGGAAGCCAAAACTGCACATCTTTTCTCAACTCCTAGCACTTCCTCCTGTTTTCTAGACAATCTTTTAACAGCACCCCACCAGCCAAGGCAGCCAAGAGCCCTGTACATCTTGCCCTCCAAGTAGATGGGAAAAGGCAGAGGACAACTCACAGAACAAGCTGCGCACCCAGACAGCTTAACAGCTTGTCGGACTCTGTGCAAGGCACTGGCCATGTCCCCAAAGCTGCTTGCTCCAGGTGCCACACAAAAAAGCTTGCAGGAGCTCAGTCAGACCAGGGACTTCAAGAGCAGTTGGAAGAGATGGAGACTGCTGTAGTTTCACCTGTTTGCTCAGGCAAGAGGTTTTTGGGCCTGGAGAAGGGGGCAGGCTGGGTTGCTGACTTGAATAGTCAGGTCAGGAGGATAGCAAGTATGGGTGGTGCTGTGGAGGGTCATGTAGTTGCCAGGATGGTCCCTTGCTGTAGTGCCAAGGAATGGGAAGTTGTGAGGTGGAATTGTGAAGCATAGGGAAGATGGGGCAGGACTGTATCCTCAGTCAGCCTTCTACCAGGGAGTCCCAGACTGAAAGCAGAGTGCCAGGCTGGGTGGATGTTCCAGTTGCTCTCTGCCTTCTCCAGGAGCCTGCCCAACTCAGGGCAGTGGTGAGGAACTGGCAAATACTTCTCACATTTGAAGTTGTACTGTTACCCTAGCTGGCCAAAAGTCTGGATGACTGGTGCAGAGGAAGGGGTAGTGGAGGACTCCTTCCTAGCCTTCATTCCTTCCACTGAGAGACATCAAGGGTTGGTGTGGTTTGTGCCTCACTCACACGATGATGAGAACACGGTCCTGGATCTTCTGCAGGAGTTTCACACACTGCTCCACTGTGAAGAACTCTCGACTCTGCTGCAGGTGCAAAGAGAGGGAAAGTTTCAAAGGTCAGGGACAGCAGTTGGGGGCAGGGGCCTCTCCAAGCCCTCCTGCACAAGTGGTTCTGAAGGTAGAAGTAGCTGAAGCTTCCATGCTGGGACATGACAAGCATCCAGGCTGCACAAAGAAGTAGCTGGCTCTGCAAAGGCTCCTTCTGTCCAGCTGTGTTTCAGGGCTGCCAACAACATTGCCTGCTGAGCTGCAGCACATATGGGAATGATCTCATGGAGAAAAGCTTTAAAAATCCTTTTACTAAAAAGGAGAGAGTACATTACCCTGGCTTCCATATCCTGGCAGTAGCACAGGTAGACGAAGCCCTGTTTGCTCAAAAGTGGCACAAAACTATCAAAATACCAAACCTAAGGACTTTGCTCCACTCCCCTTCTTATTCAGGTCACCTGACAAAGAAGCTGACAGAAAGCACCCATCCATCTGCTGCCTGAAGAGTTATAACAGCAGGAAAATGTGGCCAGGAGGCCCTGGGGCAGAGGAACTTCTAAAAAAACAAATGGTAACATTTTCCAGTGACTCTGTAAGCTGAATCCATGATCAAGTGCAGACTCTTTTAAAAGCATAATTTAAAGGACACATGGGAATTAAGAAAGCAGAAAGTAAGTGGCTGGGTGGAGGCAGGGCCTAGCTCAGTGAGCAGGCATCCTCTCTTTAGATGTTCTGTAAGCTCAGGGCTCCAAAGTAGCAAGGGGGCACATCAGAAGAGCAGTGCTCACCGTACGGGCTCTCATGTCTCTGTTATACACCAGCCCTGGAAAGAAAAAACAAAATGTTTTCATGTTTCATAGGAGCAGGAGTTGTTCTGTTTTAATTTGCTTCTGGGGTCTGCCCAAGACTTTGAGATGTGAGGAATAGGACTGATACAGATTTCTCCTTTTTTAAATTTCTTTTGTTTAGCTGTTCTAGGATTTGAACACCAAACCCACTTGCTGGGAATGGAGAACTCTGCCTCCAGACTTAATTGATCCCATTCAGGCTGCGTAAATCTGTAGCTAGGGCACCCTGTACCCTGCAGAAGACAATGGCTTGTTGGCATCAGTCCCTTCCCACACCCAGCAGTGGCCCAGCATCACACAGCCCCTTACCAGCGGGTGTCTCAGTTGCTCCTCGCTGCAGCAGGATTGCCCCACCCTCTGCTGTCAGATGGCTGTTTGCTTCTAAAAGCCTGAGGGAGACATGGCAGAGAGATTGTGATGCTGGGAAAAGGGAGGATGTGAAGCAAAAATGGCATGACAAGGCGACAGTGAGCTCTCAAGCTGCTTCAGAAAGAAGCGGGAAGAAGCATCAGCTTCTGGCAGCAGAAGCAAAAGGTCTTGCTGGGATTCCA